GATATAGCTAAGTGGTAGAGCACTCTTGGGTTCACTCCCCAGTAACATAAAAAAAAAAAAAAAAAAAACTGCCAGGTGTGGTGGTGTGTACCTATAATCCCAGTGGCTTGGGAGGCTGAGGCAGGAGGATCTCAAGTTCAAAGCCAGCCTCAGCAACTTAGCAAGGCCCTAAGCAACTTAGAAAGACCCTGCCTCTAAATAAAATATACAAAAGGGCTGGGGTGTGGCTCAGTGTTTAAGTACCCCTGAGTTCAATTCCTTCAAGTAATGTCTCCTGAGTTAACAAGATTTCCTGTGGCTACATAGGTAGTAAAGATCATTTATACATACTAAGTTTTTATACTTAAAAAAAAAAGATTGTGAAGACACCGGTGATGATTTTTTGTCGTTACTATTTCTAACTGCTTCTTGCTTTTGCTTGATTCATTAATTTGGGGTGGATTATTTGAGGAAATTGTTTTATCTCTGTTATCTACCTCTAAGCAGTTCTTCTTCCATATAAAAATGTCTAGGTCTAATTAGTTATGAAATAAAATAATTTCTGGATAAGAGCATTCTGACAGGGCTGGGGATGTGGCTCAAGCGGTAGCGTGCTCGCCTGGCATGCGTGCGGCCCGGGTTCGATCCTCAGCACCACATACAAACGAAGATGTTGTGTCTGCCGAAAACTAAAAAATAAATTAAATTCTCTCTCTCTGTCTCTCTCTCTTAAAAAAAATGTTTAAAAAAAAAAAAAAGAGCATTCTGACAGAGAGAGAGAGAGAGAGAGAGAGAGAGAGAGAGAGAAGAGAGAGAGCGCTATTAGACTGCCCCACTAGTAGAGACCTGGAATCATTTCCATAATGGTTGTTCTACAAACATGTATTTTTTGCTAGGCACCCAAAGTAAAGGTTAAAAAAAAAAAAACTTCCTTAGCTATTGACAAGCCATAGGAGACTAATTATCACTGCAGAAAGGGGACAGCAATGTAATAATCCTCATTAAAAAGACATTGTGAGGTAATGCAGTTCCCAAGAGAGAAGGGAAACCCATGTTAGTGAGATCATTTTCAATTGAAATAACAACCCAATTTAACTGTCTACAGGAACAACTAGGAAACTGTCAATAGACTTGCATAAAAGGCTGCATTAAAAAAACAAACAAATTCAAAACCTCTTATTTTGCTGGTGAAAAGAAGGTAGCAGGGGAAGTCTTGGCTCAGGGATGATGTCTGAAGTCAGAAGCTAAATTGATTTAAAAGCTGAATATATAATAAGATGTTTTGTCTGCAACTCTGGCTTTTGGCTCCCCTGAGCCTCCCTGGAAAGTTGCCCCAGGCTCTCCCATTGGGGATTATCTGGTACCTGCGTGGCAAAGCCACTCCTCTATTGAATGACATGAGTGTTCTTTCTGGCAATGAACAGTGTCTTCATTGTTTCTAGATGAACATGACTAGGCGTGGCTAGGAGGTTGCATTCTATCAGTTACATAAGGGATGCTAATCTTTTCACAGTCAAAGAATCTTTTGGTTAATTGTCCACAACTACGATCACATGTTTTGAAATATATTTTTTAAAAATGTTTATTGTTCACAGAACAAGTATTCATTAATTAAAAAAAAAACAAGGACACATATAAGTGTTAGAGGTTACTGTCAATATGAAATAACATGGAGAAGATATAATTCAGAAACAAATTTGGTATTTTGGGTAGCCTCTGCAGTCTCTTTGTGGATAATATAGGATTCTACTTGACTTTTTGAGATGATCTAAAGATTCTAGACTCCCATTATTGCCCTTAGGGGGATATATAATCCCATAAGGATTTGGGAACTTCAAGCTAGGAAACCTGAAATTGAGTCCTAAGAGACTAATGTGCAGACAGGTTAGTTGGAATAGAAAAGGGGGAAGTTAGGAAAGTTCAGAGAGTGATATTGGTAAGAAAGGGCTTGAGCAGCTGGGGTGGAAGTGGCTCACCATTTTTATTACTTTCTAGTTTGTATTTTATCTAGCAATGTCTTGGATCAATATAACAATTTAAACTATCTTAATTATATCACTATATAGGGTTGAGAGCTCCAAGATTTTTCCTTATAGAACCCTTAACAAAGTTATATTTCAAACAATTAAAAACCAGTTCACTTTAATCCAATCAGCACTTACTAAATACAAGGTATTGTGGTAGGTGATGCAGGCGAGAAAGGAGAAAGAAACTGATTTTTGTCTGTTTTATTCACCAGTGTACAACTAGCCTTAGAACATTACTGAGTTCATGGCAAATACTGGAACATTTATTGAATGAATAAAGCTCAAAGAATGAAGTATTCACCTAAAGAGCAGAAAATGACAATAAGGGGCACCAAAACACAGAGAAGGGGAATTCCTTCTGGCTTTCGATGACATAGTCTAAGTAATTATTAGTTAAAACAATCTATGATGTATTTCCAAATGATCAGAAGATATGAAATTTCCAACACATAAAATGATTAACATTTGGAAAGTGAGAAATGTTTAGTAGCCTGATTCGATGATTTACACATTGTACGCATATACCAAAGTACCATAATGTATCCCGTAAAGATGTACAGCTATTATGTCTCAATAAAAAATAATTTAAAGATGGAACTTCCTGTTAAAATTAAACCTAGAATCTCCAAGGTTTGGGAGAATTGTTGGACTAATCCCTTGTCCCTGAGATTTGTCATTGCTACCACCTTGCTGGCTTCTAGGGGATGTTCCACTCTTAATATTATGAACTGGTTTGTACATAGATTCCTTTTTTAAAAAATATTTCTTTTGGTTTTAGATGGACATAATAACTTTATTTTATTTATTTATAATTTATGTGGTGTTGAGGATCAAACCCAGTGCCTCACACGTGCTAGGCAAGCGCTCTACCACTGAGCCACAAACCCAGCCTAGAATTCTTGCTTATACAATTCCCATACATAACTAAGTCAAGGCTATAGATGAAATAAGTCTACTATGGACCAAGGGGCAGTACATGAGAGCTCCATGTAATATAGTACATAATAAATAATAAATTAATATAGCACATAATAAATTAAAGACAATAAATATGCAACATAACAAAGAGCCTATTGGCTCCAGAAGATCTTAGCTAAAATACATACTTGTTAGTTGGAAAAAAAACTGCAACTAGCCTATTATGTTAATTTATAGATGGATTGGTAGCCTTGGATTGTGAAGAGGTTATACTGGTAAATTTCAGACAGGATATAATTTGAAAATAGACAATTTGGAAATAGATAATTGGATTAATGGATTTTAGCTTGTTCTGCAGACTGGATGGCTCAGTTTTGTGAATGTGCAATCTTGGGAGTTGCTGACTTTTACTCCCCCTTTGACTCTTCCCACTTTCTGAAAGGAGGTCCGTGGTATATCAAATGACTTTTAATAAGGAGGTATTTCTTCACATAAGGGTTTGTAGGAGCTATGTCATCAACCAAATCCCACCTGAGCAGGGCCAGGATTTATTTTAACATGGACAGTTTGTAGCCTATGACAGAGCTCAGGCAAGTTTTGGAGAGCTTTTCCCATCAACTGTTCATCAAAGCTCTTCCTTGGGCTAATTCACTTGGCCTATTTCCTCACTTATGAATTAAGCTTCTCAGGTGTGGGAGTCCATCAATTTAATAGATTTGGGGAAGAGAACTGGACTCTTCTGAGACCTCTCTCTGGGACCTATCCACAGTGGTAATGTTTGTGATCTGCTTTCTATCACATAGCAAGCTTAGCCCCTGCAGTGAATAGCCTGAAGCTCTAGGACCTACATTCAATTCAGTATGTCAGGGATCCAAACTATTCTCTTCCACCCAATTTTATCGATAATAGTGATAGTATTTTTATTCTATTTGTCCAAATCCTGTACCTATTTTTCTTTTGGCTCCTAATTGTGATGGACAAAAAGGATTTTGTTATTGGGCTCTTCAAGCTCCAACCAAGTACATAAATAATTATAATATGAACTTCAGTAACATGGGAGGTATATAGTCTGCATTAGTTAGGCAATGCTGCAGTAACAAACAAGATGCAAAACTCTCCATGACTTAACATTAACACAACAGAAATTTATTTTTCAGGCTGGGGTTACAGCTCAGTGGTAGAGTGTTTGCCTAGGACATGTGAGGCACTGAGTTCAATTCTCAGCACCACATTAAAAAATAAATAAAGATATCATGTTCACCTACAACTAAAAATATTTTTTTTAAAAAAAGAAATTTATTTCTCCCTCGTGCTATAGTGTGAATTAGTTGGTCCTCCTCTACCCTGTAGCTCTGTTGCTAACTAGAATACATGACTTCCAGGGTCACGGCAACAAGAAGAGAGAGAGTAGGGGCGTCACATTTGCTCCTAAGTGCATTACACTGGAAGTGATACCCAACACTTCTACTGAATTTAGACATGACCAGTTATGTGACTCCAAACAACTGCAAAGAAGGGTTGGAAATGTATGGAAACATATAGATACTTAGAGAACCCAAACTTAGTCTGCCACAGCTGGAAAAAGAATGATCAGGAAGGTTAAGAGAACAGAGTGGGACATGAAGAGGGTTGAGTGGTACCAAAAGTGTATTTTGTCCATTTCAGAGTTTTGCCAGAGGTGGACAGACATCCTGTCTGAAATTTACCTGTACAATCTCTTCACAATCCAGTGCTTCCAGTCCATCTACAAATTAACTTAATATGCTAGTTGCAGGTTTTTTCCTACTAACAAGTATGGATTTTACCTAGGATCTTCTAGAGCCTATAGGCTCTTTGTTATGTTGTATATTTATTGTCTTTAATTTATTATGTGCTATATTAATCTCTACAAGTGAGAATCTTGAGCCCATAGTAGTTTGGGATCCTTCTACACTCTTCAAACCATCTCAAGTGTAGCATTATTTCCCCTCCTCCCCAACAGACAGATTTCCTTGAGTAGGAGTCATCTAATGTAACTGTATTTCTTAGGCATTCTTTTTAAATTAATCAGCTGGTATTTGTTAGTATTCTTTCTAGAAGGAGAATCCAAGATCTTTCTGAGCCCAAAAAACAATGGGGAACTCCAGATAGGTAAGACATTATTCTGTGGTCTTGTTTGATATGATTGTGTTTGCTACATCAAGTAGATAAGTCTTATCCTACTCTGCCATTAATCCTGTGTCCCAGGTGGATCCACTCACCTCTACCTAACTGGATCCACTGAGCCAATACTGTCACCGTGACATCTCGGGCTAATCCGTGGCCAGCAATTCCCAAATTTGAACATGGGGATCACCTGAGGAACTTTAATACTGATGGTTGCCTTGATGGCATTCCCAGAAATGCTGACTGAATTGGTCTAGGGTACAGCTGTGGGAGTGTTAAAAGCTCCCCAGATGGCTCTAAAAAGCAGAATGTTTTGAGATTCACTGCCCAGAGTGTGACTCCATGCTCCTTTGACACTTTTGTGTCCATTCTGCAGATCCATACCTGTACCACCCAGTCCTGGGGTCTCTAAGCCTCTTCCTAGAACACACCTGTTCTCTGGGTCTCCGGCAGGCTGGACCCTCCGCCCTTCCATGCTTGGCCTTAGGAATCCCCTTTTTCTTCTCTGGCTCCTGAATAAAGCCTGACATTTTAAGAGAAGGTAGATTACAGAAAAATCAAGCAGGAAGTATAGGGAGTTCCCAGTTTACCTCAGTTTCCCCTATTATTCATATCTCACATTTACAGTTGTTACAATTGATGAGCCAGTATTGATACATTATTGTTAACTAAAGTCCATAGTTTATATTGGGTTCACTTTTGGTGTTGAATGCTTTTATGGGTTTTGACAAACGCATAATGTCATGGATCCACCTTTACAGTATCATACAGAATGGTTCCACTTCCCTCAACTCCTCTGTGCTCTCTTCAGTTATTCTTTTTCCTTCCTCCCCACTCTCTGAAACCCTGGCAACCACAGATCTATTCACTGTCTCTGTATTTTTCCCATCCTTTCCACTGCAGCTCCCCTTTTTCTGGCCCTGGTTCTCCTCCCCAGTACTTGCTGCATGACACCATCAGGTGAATCCTCAGTTTTCACCATGCATTCATTCAAACTTTTTTTTTTTTTTTTTTTTTTTTGGCACTAAGGATTGAACTCAGGGACACTTGCCTACTGAGCTGCATCCCCAGCCCTATTTTGTATTTTATTTAGAGACAGGTTCTCCCTGAGTTGAGGCTGGCTTTGAACTCCCAATCCTCCTGTCTCAGCCTCCCCAGCTGCTGGGATTATAGGTGTGTGCAACCTCGCCATGCCAAATTCAGACATTTTTGTGTGTGGTGCTGGGGATTGAACCCAGGGCTTTGTGCATGGAAGTCAAGCACTCTACCAACTGAGCTATGTCCCCAGCCCCAAACTTTTATTGAGAACCGGACACATTGTCATGCCTGTAATCCCAGCAGCTCAGGAGGCTGAGACAGAAGGATCGTAGGTTCAAAGCCAGCTTCAGCAAAAGCGAGGCTCTGAGCAACTCAGTGAGACCCCGTTTCTAAATAAAATACAACAAAGGATGAGATTGTAGCTCAGTGGTCAAGTGCCCCTGAGTTCAGTCCCCATTAACCCTCCCCCGCGCCCCCACCCCAAAACCAAAACCTTTGTTGAGAAACTCTAGTGAGTAGCAATCAACTACTCAAGAGAAAAATCTCCAAGAGATGAAGACAGGAGCTGGAAGAACAGGTGGGCTGAGTGGGACGCTGTTGATCACAACTGAGGAGGGCATTGGAAGCCATAGCGAGGCGGGTGGTTGGGACTTCAGTCTAAAGTCACTGGAAACCTTTGCACTGTCTTGAACAGTATCTCGATCAGGTTTGTGTTTACAAAGATCACTCTGGCATTAGTGTGGAGAAAGAAGTGGGCATGATGGGTGTATGAACAAGAGAAGCAGCGCTGGAGATGAGGAGAAACCAACAGATCTGAAATGGAATCTGCGGAATGTAGGGAGTGGGGGCATTGATGTTTCTAAGATGACTCTGGATAATGTTTGCAGATCAGAGAAAAAAAGATCATATCCAAAATCAGAGACAAAGTTGAGGCAAGTAGGGAAAGAAACCCCTGGATACTTTGAAAGACATGAACTCAGTTGGCAAATCCAATTTTTTGTTTTTTGTTTTTTTTGTTCTTTCTGGTGCTGGCAATTGAAGCCAGGACCTCACACATGCCAGGCAAGTACTGAGCCACACGCCAGGCCAATTCAGTTATGGGCAAAGCCGGGTTACTGAGGGACCGTCTAGGCTGCCTTCTGCCATCTTACCCAACCCAGCAGTGCTCCTTCCTTGTTTCCCAGCAGGACTCTCCACTTGCACCCAAACTCTCCTGGTTCAAGACTCAATTATTCCCATTCCTGCCACAGAACATGCTTCATTTCTGGCAGTCTGTGCCCTTCAACTTTCTTCTGTGAAGCCTTTTCAGGTTAATCCTATACATTTCTGTCTGTCTCTCTCTCCCCACCCTCCTTCATGCTAGTGCACAGGATTGTTGAGACTAAATGAACTGATATCTGTAAAGCACTTAGTACAGTTCCAGGCACACAGTAAATATCACACAAATCATAGTCATTAACATTATTCTGTGACTATTTTCTGACCACCTGGTGTAAGATTTCGCCCAACAGGGAGTGCAGTGGAGAGGAGGGCATGTCCAATTGATGCCCACCTGACTGTAACTTAGACTGTTGATTCCCCGAGGGCAGGAGCAGAACTGTCTTATCTCTAATAGGTTATTTTGGGTGACCATTTTTAAGATAGTGGACAAGTAGGGAGGGAGAGCATGGGAGGAGGGATAGACGAAATCTAGATAGGGCAGAAGGGTGGGAGGGGAAGGAAGGGGACATGGGATTAAAAATGATGGTGGAATGTGATGGACATTATTATCCAAAGTACATGTATGAAGACACAAATTGGTGTGAATATACTTTGTATACAACCAGAGATATGAAAAATTGTGCTCTATATGTGTAATAAGAATTTTAATATATTCTGCTGTCATCTATAAATAAAAAAATTAATTAAAAAAAGATAGTGGACAAAATTGTCTTATTTTATTCTTATTTTGATGTCCATGATTTCTCTCTTTCTGATGACTGGGAATTTTAAAGTTCTTTGATGGGGCTAGTTCTTGAAATGAAGTAAAACCCACATAGACTTGTCAAGAGCTATGTATAAGATGTTCATTCTCAGTGAATCTTTTTTTTTTTTCACCATTTTATCTTTGTGTATTTTAACAGAAAACTATTTTGGGGAAATCAAGATCCCATTTGCCCCATTCGTGAGACTGCTTTGAAGACTCAGCCATCCAAAAGACTCAAGGACCTTGCTCATCCCAAGCCAGTCTCCAAGCATTATGTACCTAACAGGTTGGTGTTTGTGTCATGAGGTCACTTTGCCATGACTCCTTCAAGAAAATGAACATAAAACCCAGGCCTTTCTCCCAAGAGTCCTGCATTGTTCAATCTACCATCAAAATGTATTGAGGATTAGTGAAGCTGTGTCTGTTTCCAATCTCATATGACAGTCAAACTTTTCCAGAGCAAGATCCAGACTCGGATCACATTTCATAATGCTTTGGTTTATGAGAATTTTTAAAAATAAAATAACAGTGTTATAAAATAGCTTTTTTTTTAGTGGTGGGGATCAAATCCTAGGCCTTGCACATGCTGGGCAAGGGCTCTACCACTGAGCTACATATTGAGCCCCAAGATCTTCAAGGTGTCTTTAATGAGTTTTATAGAAGCCATTTGTTTTTCAAGTTAGGATCCCTGATTTTAGTATTAAAGACATATTAGAAGTTGAAGGTATATCCAAAGTCACCTGCTGGGACTACTTCAGAGGACAGGCCACTCCTTTCTCTAAGTTCTTGCCTTGCTTGGGAGATGCTGTCTGTCCACGATGCACTCCCCCCCATCTTCCTCGCCTGCCCTCTCAACGTCCTTGGTGGGTTCCTCTTTCTTTTCTGCCATTTCCCAATTGACTTCTTTCTCTTTCTGCTCTAAACAATTCCCAAAACCAAGGCTGTCCTCTCATATGGATTTTGTTTCTAATTGTGTGGTGATGACCTCCAAATCTTCAACTCCTCTCTCTTATCTCAGATGTACTGGGCTCCTGGGGGTGGGGATGGAGCCAGGGAAACCTCCCACTCAGCATGTTCAAAACAGGACAGGACTCCTTTTTAATCAAATGTTGGTTGAATGAGACACTTGTTTCAGAATGACATTTATAATGTGCAATCATTGGTGTAATTGTTTGCTTTTAAAAGTTTATTCAAGAATATGAACTCAAAATGGGTATGGTGGCACACACCTCTAATCCCAGCGACTCAGGACGCTAAGGCAGGAGGATGGCAAGTTTGAGGTCAGCCTGGGCAACTTAGTGAGACCTTGACTCAAAATAACATTAAAGAGGGTTCAGGATGTAGTTTAGTGGTGGAACGCTCACCTAACCTGTGCGAGAGCCTGGGTTCAATTCTAAGTATTGCAAAGAAAATTTTTTTTCAACAAGGTTTTTGAAAAAAACAGGTTCAATGGGAATCACTTTGTCTGAACAAGAGAATTCCAGTTGTACATTGTTAATTACATCTTCCTTCTTGAATAATGAATAATCCTTGCCTGTTTGATGATGTCTTACCATTCTTTTTGTTTTACTTATTTTTAAAAATTTATTTATTTTTTTACCATTATTTTTGGTGACATGTTACAATTGAATTTAACTCAGCACACATTAGGTGTGTATCATATTTTGCTTCATATTGTTTTATATTCTTATTATACTTAATTTCCTATTATATAAAAAAGACATTTAAAAGGAAACAGGGCTGAGGCTGTGGCTCGGTGGCAGAGTGCTTGCCTAGCATGTGTGAGGCACTGAGTTTGATCCTTAGCACCATATACAAATAAAAAAATAAAGGCATTCTGTCCATCTACAACTACAAAAAAATTTTTAAAAATAAAGGTGACAAAAATCTCCTATAGGCCTATAATTCAGATAATTTTTTTAATATTTCCTTCTGGTCTTTTTTTTTGCTATGTATATGTGTGCATTTTATATATAGTCTACTTACAATTTTTGAGATAATCAATATATACTTTATATAATGTTTTTTTATACTTAATTTCTTTTGCTGATCATTTAGGTTAGAGGTCGATCTATTTTTTTTTTTAAATATTTATTTTTTTTGTTTTTTTAGATGGACACAATATCTTTATTTATTTTTATGTGGTGCTGAGGATCGAACCCAGTGCCTTGCGCATACCAGGCCAGCGTGCTACCACTTGAGCCACATCCCCAGTCCTGAGGTCGATCTATTTTTGATTTCATTGATTTTCTCTATTATTTTACTGTTTTCTATTCCATTTATTTCTTCTCTGCTCTAAATTATTTTCTTTCTTTTGATTGCTTTGGATTTCATTTGCTTTTCTTTTTCCAGTTTCTTAAAGTGGAAACTAAAATCATTAACTTGAGACCTTTCCTTCTTTCTAATAGTTATTTAGTCTATGTATTTTCCTCTAAGTCCTGTTTTAGCTGGATTTCACAAATGTTGCTATGTTGTGTCTTCATTTTCATTAAGTTCAAAATGTTCATTAACTTCATTAAGTTCATTAACTTCATTAAGCTCATACTTTCTTTTAGTACTGGGGATTGAACTCAGGGGCATTTAACCACTGAGTCACATCCGGAGCCCTTTTTTGTATTTTACTTACAGACAGGTTCTCATTGAGTTGCTTAAGGCCTTGCTAAATTGCTGAGACTGGCTTTGAACTTGCAATCCTCCTGGCTCAGCCTCCTGAGTTGCTGGGATTACAGGCATGTGCCACCATGCCTGGCTTCAAAATACTTTTTAATACCTCTTTTGATGTCATATTTGAACCACAAATATTTTTGAGATAGGTTCTTGCTCTGTTGCCCAGGTTCTCTTGAACACCTAGGCTCCAGTTATCCTCCTGCCTCTGTCTTCTTGGTAGCTGGGACTACAGGTGTGTGACACCGTGCCCAGCTTACAGCTTTTAATTTTTGTTCTATAGTGATGACTTCAGGATCCATAGTACACATCTTGAACTTTGCATGGGCTCTGTAGTACGCACCTTCACGTTGTACCGCTTTGTGTGGTGTAGTATGTCTCCCGTTCCTCCTGCCTGGCCCCGGGGCTGTTATCATCATGTATTTTACTCTACATTATCTTATAAATCCCACAATGCATTTTTATTTTTCCTTTAAACATTAAATTATCTTTTAAAGATATTTTGAAAAATAAGAAAAGGCATTTTATGTTTACCCACCTTCTTACCATTTCCCATACTCTGTTCTTTGAGGTGAATCTAGATTTTATCGGGTATCATTTATGCTCTTTGGAAAACTTTCCTTAATGTTTCTGAAAGTGCAGATCTGCTACTGATGAATTCTTTCAGCTTTTGAGTGTCTGAAAAATTCCTTATTTCACTTTCATTTTGAACTGTATTTCTGTTGGTCATAAAATTCTATATTAACAGATGTTACCTCACTGTCTCCATTGATTTTATTGAGACATTGCTATTCTTTTACATCTGTTTCTTTGCACCTGTGGGAGCCTTAACCTAATAGTGGTTTGATCCACTGATATGGATTCACTGAGTGGTAGCTGTAGGCAGGTGGGGAGTGGCAGGAGAAGGTAGGTCATTGCGAGTGTGCCTTTGGGGTATATATTTTGTCCTCGGGTTGTCATTTCCTGGGCTGCTTTCCCCTGCCATGCACCTCCACCACTGTGTTCTGCCTCATCTTGGGCCCAGAGTAATGGAATTGGCTAACCATGGACTGAACCTCTGAAACAATGAGCCAAAATGCAATTTTCCTTCTCTAAATTGTTTTTGTTGGGTATTTTGGTCCCAGTGATGCAGAGCGGACTAATACACTAAGTTTCCTTCCTCACAAGCCTGCCTGGGAAGCCTCCATCCCTGCTGCATGACTGACTCCTTAATAATGTCTCTCATCACTCCAGCCTCAAGCTCCAAGAGAACAGAGGTTTTCATGTTCTTCACTCTTTCTTTCCTTAGCATCTCACACTGTGACTGTTGATCAATAAGGACTTTTTTTTTTTGAGTATATGAATAAGGGGAAAAAGGATAAAAATTATTCCAAAATACTACCCATTGTTATTTTGAATATGTGCTAGTATGCACTCTTTCTCTCAAGAAATTAAAAAAAAAATTAATTTGTTTTTTTATATATACATGACAGTGGAATGTATTTTTGAATTTTTTTTAGTTGTAGATGAACAACAATATCTTTATTTTTATTTAATTATTTTTATGTGGTGCTGAGGATCGAACCCAAGGCCTCACGCATGCGAGGTAAGAGCTCTACCACTGAGCTTCAACCCCAGTCCCAGTAGAATGTATCTTGACATATTATATATAAATGGAGTATAAATTCCCATTCTTGGGGGTGGTACATGATGTGGAGGTCATGTTGTACTGGTGTGTATTCATATATGAACGTAGGAAAGTGATGTCTGATACATTCTACTGTCTTTCCTTTCCCATCTCTGTCCCTTACCTTCATTCCCCTTTGTCTAATCCAATGAACCTTTATTCTTTCTTCCCCCCACTTATTGTGTGTTAGCATCTGCATATCAGAGAGAACAATCAGCCTTTTGTTCTTTGAGATTGGTTTATTTTACTTAACATTCCAGTTTCATCCATTTACTGGCAAATTCCATAATTTCATTCTTTTTTTAATGACTGAGTAATACTCCATTGTGTATATATACCACATTAACAATTTCTATTATTAACCAAGCATGGTGGCATGTGCTTGTAATCCCAACAACTTCAGAGGTGGAGGCAGGAGGAGTCCAAGTTCTAGCTCAGCCTGGGAAACAGTGAAACTCTGTCTCAAAATAAATAAAAAGAATTGGGATATTGGGCTGGGGTTGTAGATCAGTGGTAAAGCACTTGCCTAGCATGTGTGAAGCACAGGGTTCAATTCTCAGCACTACATATAAATAAACAAACAAATGAATAAATAAATGTCAAATAACAAATGAATAAATAAATGTCTATCAACAACTAAAAAATAATAAAAAAATAATAAGAAGAGGAGCTGGGATGTAACTCAGTGCTAGAGTGCCCCTGAGTTCAATCCCCAGTATTCTCATATATAATATATATGTAATTATATGTGTAGATATTTGTATAATATAATTATATATGTGTTTATTTCTTCTACAATGAGAAAAATACAGCATGTTCTATGTTAAAATGATATTTGAGTACCTGCTAATTGATGGCATTATAAGACTTGGTCTTGTGGAAAATTACAGGAGGAGGAAAAACACATGAATGTTAGTAGCACTGCATTTCATTGATATGCAATAATATAATAACTGGAGAAAATATATAATAGAAGGAGAAAATTAATACACAGGGAGAAATTAATACACAATTTGATGAATAAAGTCATATTTGAATAGTGCTTTATAAATTATAAAATGACTTTACTTATTTAATCTTCAGAGCTACATAAAATGTATTATTTTCTCCATTTCCTAAGGCACCCATGTACTTCTAGTTGTTGGCAGCAAGAGGCATAAGTCACATGGTCAGTACACATTTTTATGGCATTTGGTGTTTGCCATTCCTCACTGATGGAATGTGGAGTGATTGAGTTTGTCTTCCATTTTATTATTTTTTTTTAATCTCTGACCCACTGTCTGGGCCTCTGTGCTGCTCATTGGCTGTCTAGTGACCTCTTCTTTCTAATCCCTGTGGTCCCCTTACCTGAATCTAATCTGTCTGAGGCAACCCATTGTTCAAAACCACCTCTTCCTTCTGTTTCTCTGATTCCCAAACTGAACTGCTATTTCCTGCCCCAAGATAACCCAGGTAAGTGCTGGAAACTCCTTACCTGTTTGAACTCATCTGTGTGTGGGGGTGGGGGTGGGGGTGGGGGTGGGGCTGGGTAGTTCAGCAGTCACCGGACTCAGGTCTGGCAGTTGTCAGGCCCCTGAAAACAGATGCAGGTATGGACCCGCCTTAAGCCTGAAGGGTCACAAGGAAGGAGATGCGGGCTAACACAGAGACTGAGGCCCACAGCAGTAGCAAGTAGACGGAGGCGTGGGCAGAGGGGCAAGGATCCCTTTCTTAAAAAAACAGAGGTGCTCTGAGAAAGAATAGAATCAGAAGAGACGCTGCAGTCTGAGTTAACCCATGGCCGGAAAGAGTCAGGATCACTTCCTTTTCGACTGATGATACATTTTGATTAAGAAAAGACGAAGAGGCAGGGATAATAAGAACAATATTGTTATTTATCCTAAATACTCTCATACCTACTCTTCTAGGTCTGGGGATCAAAGCTGAAAAATAACGTGATGATCTGAATTCATGCCTATTTCACTCATTTCTCTTATACAACTTGCAGGCCCCAATATTACTACAGTTGTGGAAGAGAGTCTGTAATTTGGAAGATACCTCCATCTGCCTTGTTTACCCAGCCCTCCAAAAGGACCCAGAAGCTGGCACAGCCCAACAGATTCAAAAGACAGCCTCTACTAAGTCGGTAGGGTATCTTGAGAGTCTTCCTAAATCCTGACTCAATCTAGTTAAATGTCACAATACTCTTGTTCTAATTTCAATATGTGCAGTTTTTTGAGTGTGTGCAATTTCATGAGCTAAAAGTCCATTTGTTTTCCAAAGCATCAGATAAAAAAAAGCCAAATATTTGCAGAAACTGTAGCTAATCTGAAGATTATCGTCAATAATTACATTTGACTCAAATTGTGGTGAAGCTAAAATTCACATTAGACTTTATCATTGTTAGTCAATTAAAAGGAAATTTTTCAGGAGTAGAGTGTTTGCCTAGCATTTATGAGGCCCTGGGTTTGGTCATCCAGTGCCACAAAATCAGAATAAAACCAAAAGGGAAATCAGCAAATGAACATCACAGGCTTCTGCAATTTGCAGAACTTGATGTTCTTTTACATCTTGCTGACTTGGCACATGCTTTTGCTTTTGCTTTGAATGACGAATTTCGCCTTCTCCTTAAAAGACATCTTAGGAGCTGCCTTCCCCAGCTGATTGTGATATGGTTGTTGGAAAAGGTACTTCAACATCAGATTGCATTAGTGGAATATGTTCGGTGTGCAGACATGGGGAGGCAACAATGCATTCGTGTGCTGCAGTGGTTAGGACACACTGGGTCTCTGTAACCAGTGTCAATGTTATGCCTTAAGAAGATGACAATACATTTGAGACTTGTTCAGAAGGAGGTAAATGTGATGTCGAGGCTTCTGGAAACTGTTATATGAAAAATAGTTAAGAGAAATGACATGTTTAGCTTAGAGACCAAGGAAACAGGGATAGCTCTGTTCAAGTGTATAAAAAGGATGGCATATGAAAGAGGAAGAGTGGGAAGAAGAGGAAGAAGGAAAGTTAATTTATATCCATCTCAGTACAAGAAGGAATTTACAGCAGATGTCAGCTAATTTTAGAAAAGTCTTTCTGAATAGCTTTCCAGGAATGGAAATTGGAGTGGGAGGGGGGATCGTTCTCTAACCAGTCTCTTATTTGACCTTCAAGTTTGTTGTATGAAAGCAAACAAAGCAGAAACTGTAGCTAATCCAAAGATTAGTGGAGATACAGGGATATACAAAAAAAATGTACTGCTACACAAGCTTGGGCTCTGAGGCACTAGAGGGGCTGATTGACTAGAAGGCTCACCAGCAGATTTGAGCGGGCAGAAGAAAGAATCAGCAAACATGAAGATAGGTCATTTGAGATGATCAGTTCTGAGCAACAGAAAAGAATGAAGTAAAATGGACAGAGGCTCAGACTTCTCATCCCTATCTGCCGCAGTCTGGCTGGGCACAAATGCCGCAGTCTGGCTGGGCACAC